GGGTCGATGGGTCGAGATGGGAGGGGGCAAAGTTAAGGGGCCAGGATAGGGCGGGATCGAAAGAGGAAGAAATCCTGGAAAAATGGAATCGTTTCTGTAGACTTGAGCGTTCGGTGCTGGGCGTGAGCGGGGAAGGTGGGGGGGAGGAGAGGTGTGGGAACCGCCGGCCAATGTTTTCTCGGTGCTTGAGGTTGCAATTTATTCATATTAAATTTGGGATGGGGGGGCTGCGAAGGGCGATTGCTGTGTAAACGTTTTCTAGCCACTAGAATTGTACAGTATTGCAGAGTTCGGCCCCTTTTTACTCGGCGGGGCCTCTAAAATATACCTCAGATTTCATCTTTTTAATCCGTGCTTTACCTTGTGCCGGCCGTAATTTCCATCTAAAACATCGTTTACTTACAGTTTACAATTTTTGTTATCGACTGCCCCCTCCCCCCGCCTCTACTTTCAAATTAACTTGCGATTTTGGACAGAATTATGAGAGCCGGAGGCGTTTGATCAAGCGAAGCCCCTCAGCCCTCGAGTTTGGTTAGCTATCAACCAGTTAATCTGCAATCAGATCTTGAACATTACCGAAGCAGTGTTTATTGTTTGTTTCCGTCCGGTTATATTGCTTCTTTATCATTAGCATCACTAACCGTAGGGAACGTAATTACACCGGGTTTTGTTTTGTTTTAAAATAATTTTCTCTAGGAGGAGAAAGCAATCATTCTACAGGCAGGATTGGAGAGGAATCTTTGGACTTTGTTTGCCGTGTCATGTCAGATTGCAGGGGCATATTTAAGATCTACAGCTCTAAAATAGGTAGATATCTAGAAAGAAAGAAAGAAAAGCAAGCAAGAAAGAAAAGCTTTAAAGTACGTAAATAGGAAGGAAGGAAGGAAAAAAAATTCCCACCTAATACAGTTCTTCGCTTCTTTTTAAGGGGAAAGTCCCACTAAATTCAACGGACTTTACTCCCAAGTAAGTTAGCCATATGACCCTTACTCTGTTATTTTTCTACTTGCTTGTATACTTCATTCTTTAAAGTTAATCCCTCCTGTTTTATGTAAAACACAGCTAAAAGCAACTTTTTTGGCAAAATCCACCTTGCCATGAACTTTTGGGCTAAGTTCTTCACACGGGTACACGCCTGAGGAAGTGGATGGTTCTGATCCACGAATGCTAGCAGACTTTATAACAATTGTTTTAGAGGTCTATAAAAACATCACCTGCTTTTGCATTTGCATTTTTAAAAAGAAGAAACTAAAAAGAGGAAATTCTTCCTTCGAAAGAATTTGTCGGATATCTAATGTTGACAAAACACCCTGTGGAGAGTAAAGATTTTTGGTTTTGAAGAAGAAGAAGAAGGCCAAGAGGTCCAGTCTCCAAATCCGAAAACCAGGTTGACTAATACTTTACGTGGACCACTAAAAAAGCCACCACAAAGCCTGTCCCTTCCAAATCAGCTAGAAGGAGAGAGTAGGGGTGGGGTGGTGTTAAGGTGCTGGAAAAGTACGGGGCTGATTCTTGGGGGGGACAACCGCCCCCCACACCAGACTTTGCCTATCCTTAAGCACAGACCCGCGTCAGCAAAAAGGAGCTTCCAGAATGTCCCAAAAGCCAGAGAACTTGACTCGCGACTCCTATACAGTAATCTGTTCATCAATTTTTTTACACGCCACCCACCGAGGTGTTTTAAAGCTACGAAGCCAGAGTTCGTCAAGAAACTCACTCGGAGTAGGCGAGAGCTTGCCTTCCCGTCTCAACGATCAGGACTTGCGCTCTTGTCTTCGTAACATCGAAACGGGCCGCGGGGTTTCGAGGAGTTTAAAATCCCTTCCTCTCCGGCCTCCGGGGCCCGCGTCTTTTTTTCGGCCATTCAGAAAAGAGCCGTTTTCTTTTTTTTCAATGTTTCCTGACGGGGCCTCTTCCTCTCCCCCCCCCCCCCCCGAGTCTCCCCATATTCGGTGGGGAATCTCGCGCGGGAACGGAACCCGGCCTAAGCAAATAGACATACAAACAGATCCCCCGAAATAGAAGGATCGTTTCGGACCGGAGGAAGATGGGGAGGGCGAGAGAGGGAGAAGCGCCGGCGGGATCCGGCTGCCGATTCCCGTCCTCCGAAACGAGCCTGCGTGACTTGCGACGCTCGCTTCGAGATTCATAAAATATTTAAAACTCCAAGTCAACCTTTTCCCTATTTATTGCCCTGTATAATTCAACATTATCGCGTATTAATAAGCCAATAATGATAATCTCTATAGGAAAAGCATGCTAGCTGGGCCGCTTTTATGGCCGCCCTTATCCTTTCTAATGACCTTTGGCTCGGCAGAGTAATAACTCATTACGGAATGAGCAATTGTCTGGAGTGCCTTAAATACTTCGCAATCTCTCTCTCTCTCTCTCTTTTCCCTTTTCCTTTCTCCTCCTTCTAGCCTCTGGACACTTCCAAGAAGAGGTACCCCATAGGACAGAACCGGCTGTCTCGCCTGGCTTGAGAGGAGAGCTTCAAGGGAAAGCAGAACAGCCTGAAGGACGCCGTTGGTTCCCCTCCCAGCTACTCCTGAGCAGAAGCCGCAGAATGGGGAGAAGGTCTCCCTTGTGTGGGGTGGGGGGTGTGGGGGGGTGTTTGAGGTGCTCTTCCCCCCCACACCCGTTTTTTTTCTGGATCTTGCCCATTTTAGGGTCTTCAGGCTCTTCAGGTTACAGCCGTTGCTTTACTCTGCCTTTACAATTCTCATTAGCAGCAGTACTGGTAGTATAGCAATGGTGATAATGGTAAGACAGCTGTCCCTCTAGAAGGGGCTGGATGTGATCCATAGGCATGACATTGACCAGCCAGCCCAGTTTGCCCCAGCAGTGGCTGGTGCCCATTGTGGTTGGTGAGATGAAAGGCAAGTCGTAAAGGGGCAAAGGGGGGATACTTTCCTTGGCACCTACACTCAGAGGCATTCTGGAGCAACCACACATCTAGGCAAGTAAGCATTCACACATTTCCTTCTGCCTCTGGGAAAGAGGCAAGCAAAAGTGAGATGTTTGGGGAGCAGCCTGAGCCTGAGGTGGGGGGTGACCGCCCACCCCGTCTTCATGGGTGAACTGCTGGCGCTCTATCCTAGCAAGGGAGTGATTTGAGCTCAAGGCTAGGACTAGTCTGGAATTTGGGACTAGAGAATAAGGAGTCTGGGGAAAGAGTCAGTAGAAGCAGAAGAAAGACGACTGGCATTGTGTGTAGCACAAGAGCGTATGCTGTAGCGCATCTACTGATTTCTAGAGGGGTGGCAGAGTTCATCTGTTGTAATAAAACCACCAGTGAGACATGTAGGACCTTAAACGTTATGCATTTATTATGCAACATGCTTTTGAGCAATAAAGCCTGATTCATGAGAACATGAAGGGTTATCCTCAGTTACAGGTATGTACCATCAAGAGACTAGGGTAAACAGGAAGGTCAGAGAGAAAGCTTTGCCACTCCCATCTCTTTCTCTGCATGGAAAACAGTGTGTTTGCGTTTTGTTTTTGTTTTTTTTTTTAAATCAACCGCACAATCTTATATATGTTTACTAGGAAGCTATTTTTGCCAAGTTCCCTGGAACTGATTCTTTGATAAGTGTGCTTAGGACCACAGTCGATGTTATTGAATGATCCTGTAATATTTGCACAGGTGGAATGTAAATTGTTCAGTACTCATTGGTTCTTGGATGAAAGCTGCGATCAGAACAGACAGACGTGGGTATTCTAAGGTTAACCAGTCATTTTCAGTGGGGCCAAATGGGCCCATGGGGGACCCTGGCACATTTGAAAGGGGGAAACAGACTGGAAACAATTCTTCACACACCAACTTGACAAGGTTTGTTATATGAGTTATACAAGCCTGATTTGGTCTATATTTCTTTCATATTGTATTTATGGCCATGGTTAAAAAAAAAATTGAGAATGTCTGGATAAATTCTCTCTCAGAGGTTTTCTTAATGAATTGTTTACAGTTGTATTTAAGAGAACCTTACACCAAACACAGTCTAACTAATACTCTCCCCACCCTTTTGAGCTGTGGATCTCACTTCTGATGTGTACATACACACCCACAGGAGAGAGCTGAGCTCAGGCCTAATATATTTGCCTTACATGTTTTGAATGAGGACATGGTTTTCCTAGGGAAATCAAAGTGATTTGCTTAGGTGAGGCCATGAGGTTTCTTCAAAAACATGTATTTTTAAAAAAAGAAATAATACCATCCATCAAATAATCACATTCTATACATTACATATGATCAAAATACTCCCCAGACAATTTTATGGACAGTTAAATACAACTCAACTAGTTGAGAAAGAAATGTCTAAATGCTTCTAATATTGAATATGAATGGAAACCAGCTTTACCTACCCACAGTTCATCATTGCAAACATTATGCCATTCTCGCCATTCATAAATGAGAGCACACAAGGCAAGAAGGGGTGTATGGGCTTCGGAGTGACTGTTCCTATAGTATCATGAGCATCAGTGTTTTCTCCAAGTTGTAAAGGAAGAACATTGGGATTGATAGACCAAGGTTAAAGAATGGTTACATTGTCTCACTTTAAAGGACGTACATTCTCTGTAACCCTGTAAATGTGTTGACTGCTTACATAGCACAGAAATTAAAATATGGGATTTTCCCCTCCCCCCCCCCACTTTCCCTTTTCTTTTAGGTGCATGACTGAATTTGTAGAAAGATCAGTGGATTTGACAGTACCATTTCTGGCACAATGCCAGCAGATGCAAAAACCCAGAAACAGGATAGTTAAGCTCCTGGTTTGTAGGCCGGGATTGATGGAAGACATTATTGCAGGAACAGAGACACTTTGGATCCACACTGAGGGAAAATTATGTCCATGTTATTCTCTTGTTTTTCCACACACAATCAGTGGAGTGTTCTCTCCCAGAGCAACACAGTATACAGAAGCACCAGATTTGGTTGGTGAAAATCAAGAATTTTACAAGAATTCTTTTTTTTTTTAACTATGTTCCTCTTGCTAGCCAGTGACCACATGCTTGGCAAGGGGATTCTAAGGGTGGTCATCCATACATGTGACTTTTTCAGATTCTCCGAAATAGTTACAAACTTTCAAGCACCACACCACTATAAAACTCTTCGCTGAGCAGGAAACAAGTTTCAATAGAAACCATGGTTCCAAAGCCAACATTGATTAACTCCCAGGGTACAGTTGTAAGGATTTATAAGGATTAATGTGTGGATGCAACAAATGCATGCATTATGTAGCTATTTCTGGTTGGCATATGGGTCCATATTGGGTGTGTTGGGCACTCCAACATCCAAACCAGATTCATTACTCAATGAGAGTAATGCTGATGATGGTTGAACACCTTCTTGATCAAACCATGCAAGTATCCCAGACACCTCATGAAGGTAAACAATCATTGATGAGCAGCAAGAGTAAATATTTTGAGAACTCAGGTTATGCGTGTTCCACTATTGCAGCAAAAACACCAGAGAATCCCATGGTTACCTGAAAGAGTATCATGTTCTCATTCAGCATGAGCTTCCATGCACAGCAACCCACTGGTTCAGAGCCTCCGTTATACCTATGATCCATAAAAGACATATTCATACAAAGATATCTGCACAACAAATGTGCTCATTGAGCTCATTCAGCACTGAGTCACATCAGCCGATCTTGAAACTGCAAACCCATCAGTTGAACATGAATGGAAAGCAGCCTCATCTTCCCCATTAATAGCCTAAACTACTTGCTGCTGGAACTAGGAGAATAAATTGTGCTCACCCTACACTCCAAGTCAATGCAGCCGAAGCCAAACATGTGATTTTGGCACATAAGGTCCCACAAGCTCTTCTCCCATCCTTAATTATAAAAATATAACAATGCACCAAATAATCAAACAAGATGCTGTTCCTTTCATGGCAGCTAAAATAAGCAGTCTAAGGCAGGCTCCTTGTCCCACCTAACAGGAGGCAACCTACAATATGTTCTGTTCCTACTGGGTACCAATGAGGAATAAACCAAATTCAACCCAACATGAGCAGAGCACATGGCCCAAGTCTTCATTATTTTCATGCACACGAAGCTAAACCTCTGAAATATATCTATTCCCCCTCATTTGTTTTTATAATAATGACATATAGACTTGGAGGTGGAAGCAGGAAGCTGTCATCCAAAGCAATGGCACTGTAGCATGGTAGGCAACACAAGTTATCCCAGAGCATGGAGACAGCAAGCTGAAGTGTCTACATAGCCTCACAATTTCTGCCTATGGTTATGCCTTCTATGAAGTAATAATGTTATTTTTCTAATACGGATTTTGGAATGTGTCGAACTACCTCTGCTTGTGGGGGTAATTTGGAGTCTGCTGGTGTGTGTGTTTGTGTGTGTGTGTGTATGTGTGTGTGTGTGTGTGAGAGAGAGAGATTGAATTTCTAACAACGATGACCCCTCCCACAGGCATACATCAGTGATGCTAATGGGAGGAAGGCATACTTAAGATACCACATGCAGAAGACAGTTGGTTAGCTACCCTGAAATGTTCACAAAGCATAACCCAACATTTTTTAAAAAATCACTCCATTTCACCACCCACTGTAGTGCTCCTGCAGTCTGGTGCTGAGATCTTGCTGTTCAGCCCACTGTTTTTCAAATCCAACAAGGTTATAAATCCTACGCCAAGTTTAATACAAGTTTATTATCTTTGCTGTAGCCATAACAACAATGCAATGCAAGAAATAATGTGATGCTGGGTCGTTGTTTTTTAAAAGAGGGGGGGTGAAAACCATATTGCAAACAGGTAACTCCCTATGTTTCATTCTGGCACTAGGC